GCGTTTTACCATCAATATTAAGATATATTATGATTATTATAGCATTCTTAGGTATATTAATTGTTTTAAAATCTTCATATTACAATTTAATACAATTATAATTAATACTAAATGTATTTGTTTATTTTTATTTTTTCATCAATTTTTTCATCAATTTAATTATATAATTTTTTGTACCTATAATAATGTATTTATTAAACACAAAAAAAAATGTCTACATAGTTTATACGTGGTTCAAAGTGTATGTATATTTCCCATAACAATGTGAGGTATATTATAACATCACACAAGTGTCTGGTAATTTGTTTTTAAAATTTCCATGTCGTTACTAAACACTAGGTATTTAGTATTTATTCACCATAAAATTGAATAATATAATATATTAATATAATGTACTTAATAATTATTACACAATAGTTCAACCAAACTAAATTAAAAAATGTACATCCCTAATTGAGTTTTATTCAAATAATTAATACCATTGAATAATAAATAACCTTATATATTACATTACTATATTATTATACAGGTATTCAATGCTAATACCTATTTTCGAGGCTATTATAATGTTTTCATTGCTTTTGCATTTTGGTCTTAATATGTGACAGTCTATATTTGCTATATTTAATTTACATTTTACATACTATAGGATATCATATATGACAATGATCGCAAATATGTTATCACATAAGTATATATACATCTTATAATCGTAGGTACACAAATAGTGGAGAGCTGAGGAGTGAAGGCCTCAGCCCACCTAACAGTTGACTTCTACAAAAAAACTGAAAATTTTAMATAGCATGGGAATATAATATGAAATATTTTAATATGTTCATCAAAGTCTCTCTTCCTCTCACCCAAATCTCAAATACACCWTACGCCTATGCAAACAAATTATTATTAATTTTTTTTTTTTGTAAAATATACAGCGAGTCAGCCAGATGGARACTATATCAATAAATAATRGTTGTGATACTAATATATTTTATTAATCAATAATAAYAAATTATATAAGTATATAACTGTTTTATATAATATGAAGTAGTTTATACCTACTATAGTCTATAAATAATACAGTTATTTAATAAATATCTGCATGTTAATTGTATATTTGTAAATTTTAATCCTTACAGTATTATATATATATATAATATTTCCTACCAAAATAACCATTACAAATTTATGAAATTGTATTTTAAGCTATAATTACCTTTGCTTCTCATCTGCAGATTTTGTTCCGTCAGTTTTTGAATCATTATTCTCGTTTGATTCGGAAGAAACCGGAACTATTGGAGATATTTTATCATCACGCTCAACTCTGTGGATCGATATTACAGTCTCGTTATTGGTGTTAAGCTTCGTAGATAGTTGTTCTGGTTTTTCGACTTCGTCCATTGGTTTGGCTATTGCCACGGCACAAACTAAAGCAAAACACAATAAATACTTCATGATGAAAATTTCAACTAAATTCACTGTCTAATTGTATATCGAATGCCAGACTGTATCAGAAATGAATAATAATATTAATAGTCTACGTAGGGATATAAGTAGGCTTTCAGTCTAATGCGTTGTCAGCAATATTATGCAATACGGTAGTGAAGAAATTACATTGGTGTATACAATAATGGTGTTTAGGTATTTAATATTATAAAAAATAGATTGATGAAAATAAAATTATAGCGGTCATGGAAAATAATAAATATATAAATTCAATGTGTATATTAAAAATGTATAATTTTGAATAAACTTATTAATGTTACAGTTATATCTATATAGATATCCATATACTATACAACCATATAAGTATATCATATATATAATAGATAAATAAAATAATTTATTGATTTAGTAATTAATAATTAGTATACCAATAATATGAATATGAATGTTATTTTTCAATCTTATTTTTGAATTTAATTGTTATATTGGATTTTTCATAAATATGACTGCATAGTGCATAATTTGAAATGTAATGTAATAATTACAAATAAATCGTTAACTATTGTTTCTCAATCGATCTAAGTTATTTACTTTCATATCTATAAATACGTTAATACATTTTTWAAAAAGCGGGTAAATCGTGGATGTCGCTCGCAGTAGGTTACAAGTGGGTTACTGTAATGGATGGAATTAAATATGAGTCCAATGATACTATATCAACGTATACGAAAAACGATTCTGAGCGGAGATGGTTATTTATCTGTCTATAGGTTAAATTGTAGATTATTAAAAATTTTCAAATCTTAGATATAA